TTCAAAATATATTTATTTATTCAAAATTTGTTGCACTTTAGTTTTACATCTATGTAATTATAACCTCAAAATTTACAATCTAAATTGCAGGAGAGGTTTCGGTATTGTGTACCTCGCTTTTTAAGCTTTTGGTATGAATTAGAATATTTGAAATATAATTTTATGTCTCGTCTGCATTACAATATTTGGTCTAGGGGAATCGCAACATAAGTAACGGAGCCTAATGAGTTCGTYTTTTATTACTCGACTATTTTGCGAAGTCTGTCATTGTTTGTTATTAGTTTCTTCATATTTCAAAACTTGTGCCAAATTCATTTAGCGTTCATTGAACTCGCCAAGGCGATGCCTAAATAATGCTTCGTTACAACATACTAAATCTGTACAAATACATGACGAACGAAGTACAATGTCACACGCACTGTTTCTTGTTGGCACTCAAATTCCGAAATGTTTAATGCAAAAATATATACATACATGGCAGGCAWAAGAATATACATGAATGTATATGTATGTAGATATTTATATAATATGTATAGCTTGATTAATTTTTGGGCGTTAGTAATTAAACTTTTCCTCATTTAAAGAGTAATCAATATTTAAAAAAAAATTCCAGTCGATCGGAAAAAAATATCAAAGTTATTTGTATCACCAATTGGGTAAAGAAGTTTTGAGAAGAACTCGTTTAAAGGCTAAGACACTATAGCTGAACCCGAGGTGACATTTCAATTCGAAAAATATTTGTATGGCTATAAAGTAACGATTTTTTGAAAATTCTATAATGGTCATACTCTTATGTTTTAATAAGAGCACACTCGCTTAAACTCTAGTATCTAGTTCAGCTAAGTATTTTCGACTTTTCAAATTATAATTGAAAATGCATACATACATAGATTTCCAGGAACTTAAAAATTGCAGAAACAAGCAGATTTTTATTGAATCCTCCAATAATTGGCAAAAACCTTGTCTTTGCRTTTCTTATATCGAGAGATACTTTCAGTTAACATACAACAAAAATAAGCTAAATGTTTGACAGAAATTAAGSAATATGTCAGTTCTAGAGCTGTAGCCCATTTCTAGAGTATAGACTGAGAACGACTTAACGAAGCGGTTCCAAGAAGATCTGACGCTTTCGAGTCAAATTTCGTTCAGCGATGAGGACCACTTCTGGCTCAATGGGTAAACAAAGCTAACAAAATTGAAACATTTGGGACAAAGATCAATCTGTAGAGATTCAAGAGCTGCCSTTTCATACRTAATCTGTTCTGTTTGTGTGCCTGTGCAATCATTGGCCCATATTTTTTTTAAAAATAGTGTCATTGTAAACGTAACTGTCAATGACTATCGTTATAGCGCCATAATAGCCGGCTGCTYGAGGCCAGAAATTGCATCTCGTGATCTCGGTGACATTTGGTTTCAACAAGACGGCGCCACTTCCCACACATCGGGCCTTGAAACAAAATACCATTCGCCAGTACCAGTCGAAATGCTTCAACGATAACTCTAAAATTGGACTAAACGTAGGTACCATCTGAGACGTAGCCACGGTCAAAATTTTAAACAGGTAATCTCACAAAAATAAAGGCCAAAGAATACTCTTTCGAATGATGATACATTCCCCTTTAAATGTGAAGTTTCTGTGTTTTTTCTTTAAAAAAGTAGGSAATCTCSAAATKGATTATCCTAYATATGGTAAYTAGRCCCTCAGTTTTTGAGAKATCAATCTGAAATTCTGCACACATGCACTCCTAATTGATCGATAAAAATAAGATATAGAAAACGTTTTTCATTTCTGAAGGATTCAACCCTACGGAGCAAGCGAATTTAACGATTTGGTTTTATCTGGAGGAAWGAATTTTTAGTTCCAAATCGGAAAAATTGGTTGGAATGTCCATACGTTAATGTGTTTTTCCTGGAGAAAATTAAAATTTAGGTTAGCTCTAGATATTATAATATTTAAATAATGAAACGTTCTTCCAGCTAGAAATAGATTTCATAAAGCTTAGTCTCTTATACACATCTAGATGTGTATAAGAGACAGGCTCTAGATATTATAATATTTAAATAATGAAACGTTCTTCCAGCTAGAAATAGATTTCATAAAGCTTAACAATAACAATATTAATGGACTGCAAAGTCTATGGAAATGGTGATAAGGGGAAAAATTCAAGAATGATTAAACTTGAGTGAAAACAAAAGAAAAAATAACAAAAATTAAGAACAAAGTAATATACAGACAATTTGAGGTCAAGAATAGGAAGCGGATAAAAGGCAAGGTTTAATTTTAAATGGTTAATAACGCCTTTTCTCGATTTCCGACAAAACTAGAAGTTCTATAGCAAAAAGCTATATGGCAAAGTWGTAGGCAATTTGAAAATCTGGAACTTTTGTATTAACAACTTTTTCACTTAACCACAAAATTTATATCAAAAATTCATTTATCAAAAAATTTTGTGAACCCGAATTAAAAAATCCTAGTTTGCATTTATTCATTATCATGATTTTTACCAAAATATAAAAATTCAATAATCAAAAACCGAATAAAATTGTAAGTGTGTCAAGAATAAATTTTTCAGCAGTGCAAAAACTTCAATCGCACCCAGCTCAAATTCAACTATAAACAATTAATTCACAAACACACATACAAATAAATGGTAAGTATGATGAACTAACATAAAATACCAACACTTTTAATGCCACAAATACTTTCAATCCAAAATAAGCTAAAAAGTTTGAATTTTTTAAGCTGAAATCAATTAAATCAATCGAGTTGAAATATAAATCATCAATCGTTAGTTCATTTGGCATGCAGCCGCAGACAAGTGCCATGCAGAATAGCAGAGATTTGCAACAACAGCAACGGCGAAGTCATGAAAATGCCAAGCAGCAAATTATGTAGACAGCAACAACAACATCAATCGGACTAGGGCTAAACAAAGCTGGCTACAAACCGACAGGCGAAGCGAACAATCAACTTATTAGCTTATTGCCGCCACCTTCCATGCTCACGGCGGCAGCGTCAGCGTCAGCGTCAGAGACTGCGACGCCGGTTGCAATAAACTTCCTCCTAATCAATGTTGGCTGCTTGATGAGCCAAACAACACGTTCATATAAGTATATACATATATGTATGTATATACCATGCAAGCAGCGGCTCAAGCGCTTAGGACTTGGGTTTACGGAATCTCGCACGGTAACACTTGTCTACGACGGCGACTGCGACATCTGCTTATTACAAATGTATGTATTTGAAGGCATATATGTGTGAGTGCTGCCATACTAGATGCACATATGTTGCAATGTTGATAGTTCAAATTTGTTGATCACATCGCAACCACTTAGCATCTCCACCCATTCTTTTGGCAGTGTCTAGTATCCACTAAGCATAAATACATATCTAGATATATGTATATATGCTAGTTTGGAGGTATGTGTGTAT